TTTCCATCTTTTGGCATCGTGTTCTATAGCCGAAGTCGAAGTCGCGCGAGCGCCGCGCCCCGGATCGGTGTTGTGCAGCTTATCCTGTGTACGCCGGCGGTGCTAGTTTGAAAAAATGACGTTAGGTATCGTGCAACAACTGTAAAATCGTCATATGTGAATTATTTATCTTATGTACAGAACAAACTATCTGTAGCAGATGGAGACAGTATTGTGAGGATATGTGCTGCAACGTTTTCGTCTGAGGAGATCGAGCAGGCGTATAAATTACTCGTAGATTCCCTACCGCAGGATCTGCCTAAAACTATGAAGAAGGGAAAAGACAAAGAAAGCCGTTTTTTAAACGATTTAATCAGAATTTTTAAGGGCACTGACCCTGTTGTTTTGCCAGTGTTCGTAGCAAGAGTTAGATAAGTTACCTCCGATTACCCTCGATCATCTTGAAGTCTCAAAATTACTTAAGGATCTAGCTGTTGTGCAGGCTGAGATAAAAAACATTAAGTCGTCATACGCAACTATCGACCAGCTAGAAAAAGTGAAAACGGGAGTGCCAAAATCTCAGGCATACATCGCCGCCCTGTCTCAACTTTATGATACGATCATAACAAATCACAGCGATCACCCCGATGTTGAAGGGTCATCTCCGAGAGATTTTAATTTAAACTATAGAAACATAAATTATATGGATGGTAATGCGTTTGGAAGTTACAAATCACGTGCCTCGCGCGGGACAGGCGCACGCAGCGCGGAATTAGCGGTGCTGGCGCGGGCGGGGCGAATGATTTGTCATCGCAAACGACGAGCGCGCCGAGCGATTCGAGCGCGCAGCCGATCAGCGAACAGTGCTGAGCCGGGCAGCGGGGCCAGCTGCGCGGCCAGCGGGTGTGTTATTGTTCGCCGAGATGACTAAGACAGAGTGCGAGTGGAATATTGTAAACCTAAAACGAGATCGTATCGTTATCTGGGAGCCGCGGGTGTTTCCAATGACGAGAATTGTTATTTTAAAACTGGGGACAGAAAAGTTCCAATTTTTATTACTATGGTGCATAAGGACACGACGGAGAAGGATATTATGGAATATGTTTACAATAAGACGCAAGAAAATATTAAACTTGAAAATATCTCTTTTTTGAGAGGAAACAAGGATTATAATGCGTTCAAACTTTTTTTGTATCATGGCGGAAAATAAAAATATTTTTATATGCGACACTGGCCGGAGGGCGTTATATTCAGGCGATTAGTCAACTTCAGTCAAAATAATAGCAGTGGCACGAACGGTGTAGCGGTGTATACCGTGAACGGCCCTATCCCTACTGTCATTGGATAAATATTTCAACTGTAATTTAGTCAGCTTCAACTGTAAAAGTTTGAAACGCTCGGTTGACGATGTGAGGTTTTTGTGTCAGTCGGCGAGTGTGATAGCAATTCAAGAAACTTGGTTATATGGACACGATATTCAGTGTCTTAGCGGAATTGATGTGCGTTTCGGCAGCACGAGCACGTTTGCAATGGATTCGGTGGCGGGCATGGTTTCCAGCCGGCCTTATGGTGCTGGGCGACAGTTTCATTTTAGTGGTTAGTGTGTACATGCCGCAGTTTTTGAAAGGAATTGAAACAGGGCCGACTCAAATTGTTGTCCTCGGTCTGTAACAATTTCTTCAGGACAACCATAGAGGACAATGGAGAATGGTAAAGCTTGTGCGACAGTTTCGGCTGTAATGTCGGCTATTGGTACTACCTCAGGCCATCGCGTAAAACGGTCGATTGCATTGAGGCAGTAGCGGCCTTTCGACATAGGAAGTGAACCTATGAGGTCTATATGGACGTGCCTAAAACGCGTGCGAGGTAAGGCGAAAGTACCCCAAGGTGAGGATACGTGTCGGCTTACCTTGGAACGCTGACAGGCAACACAAGATTTAGCCTGGTCTCGACAGTCCTTCCTCATACCTGGCCAGACGTAACATTCTGCTACAATTTGAGGCAGTAGCATTTGCTTCTGGATTGCTCAGGGAATGAGGACTGAAAAAAACTTGTTTGCGAAGGGGTTTAGGCACAAATGGTCTACGGACAGGCGTACTTATGTCACAATACAATGTAGTACTGCAACCAGGAATATTGTACTGCTCAAAGCGGAGTGATGACGAACCAGCCTTCGTAAGTTGAGTAAGTTCTACGTCATTGGCTTGAGACTCAACTGAGGTGGCGAGATCGACAGGCGCTTCCAGTTCCTCAACGCGACTTAAGGTGTCCGCAACAATGTTATCTTTGCCAGATATATTCCTTTTGTCGGTTGTGAACTGGGCTATAAAGTCTAACTGTCAATACTGACGAGGCGAGCAGTTGTCCTTCCTTTTATGGAATGCAAAACTGATCGGTTTATGGTCAGTATAGACGATAAAGTGTCTCGCCTCCACCATATGATGAAAGTATTTAATAGCTTCATATACAGCTAATAACTCTCTGTCATATGTGGAATACCTCTGCTGAGTTGGGCTCAACCTACGTACAAAGAGGAGGTTGTTAAGAGGGGCTTGTATTTGGACAGCGTTGGGCAGGAATAGCCTATAAAATCGACGATCTCTAATTAAGGACCTTGGATAAACACAAAGGTCGCTTGCAGTGTCGACCAAAAATTGTGATTTTTGAGGTGCGGTCCGTTACGAATAGGCGACCAGTAGCATTAGGACAGTCGTCAGTCGCCATTAATGACCGTCCTCTGAGTTTCCCACCTTGAAATCGCAAGGTGGTAGGCATTTATGTGCACAGCCACTATATTTAGCATGATACCAGCAAAGTGGGAATTTTTATAACGAGACTGCGATCGTGATGAAGAACGCCCTCGCTGGTGATGTCTTCTCCTGGAACGGGGTCTCCTATTTACATGCATAGTCAGTCTTTGCAGCTGCCTTCGAAGTTCGGCAACTTCGCATGTTAGGGTTTCACAGCTGGGACCGGGTGTGGGTGTACTTGCTGAGCACGTAGAGGTGATTTGCGGTGAGGACGGTACAATGTCATGTCAGACCATATGTCTGCCAAATCTTCCAGCATTTCCAATGACGCGCTGGGTTGCGCGGCCAGCATATGCTATTTCTGGATGCTCCTCGGTCGGCTGGTCCAAATAGTCTGCAGGAACTTATCAGGTACTTGGGGTCCTGCTAGGCTCTGGAGGTGTCGCAAGAACTGAGAAGGCTTCCTGCACCCAACTCTTCGTGCATAAGGAGTTGCTTCACCTTCTTCTCGTGTGAGGTACTCAATCGCTTAATTAGCTCTGTCTTGAGCTTCAAATATTTATCACTGGCTGATGGGTTGATAATTATATCTTTGACCTCTTTAAAAAACTGATGGTCTAGCTGGCCGATGACATAACTTAATTTAGTGGAATCGCTCATGATACCAGAAATAGCAAATAGACCCTCAACTTGTGCAAACCATATTTCTGGTTCTTCCGGCTAAAAAGGTGGTACACGGAGTACGTGTACCACCTTTTTGGTTAACACGTTAAAAACTTCGGATAACGTATCGGATGCGTCAGTGGAAGCGCGCTCTTCGCTTATCGCCTGTTTGGAATGTTGGGTGTGGCCGCCGCTGCTTGCATCTTGAATTTTATCGCTCCGTTCCATTGTCTAAACTGTATTCAGTCCCGGGGTCACCAATGTAGGTTGCGTAGGCGAATTAAAATAAAGTTTTTGCACAGTTTGTATATATTCTAAATTACACGCAACACGTATAAGTTCAGAAGGAGAGTAGCACAAGCACAGATAGTTTGCAATAGTTTATACAGTACAGAAAGGAAGCAAACAGTAGAGTAGGCAGAGAAAGTTCACAGCAGAATTAACAGATAAAACAGTAGTGAAACAACATATATAACAGTACGTAAGCGAGCAATTCTAGCATCGAGCGACGTGCACTTCGGGTTAGGAGCCGGTTCTGACTGGCGGGAAGTCCGTAGAACTCGCACGATGCGCCGCCACATACATACTAAAATAATCAAAAATTATGAATCAATCAATTTAAGAAGCAGAAGAACAAATAATAGACCATGTCGGATTACTTATAAGGTGCCGGATTAGACAGGGGCCGGATTACCGGGGGTCCACTGCATATATTATTACCCCGTTGTATATAAACGAAATATTATCTATAGGTAATATTCCTCAATAAACAAAGATAGATCTTTGTCAATTTCGTGAATCTGATTCGAAAAATTGTGAAGACTCGATTCTCGGGGTGTATGAACTATCTATATTCTTAATTAATTCTTAAATTCTTAATTCTTAAATTTATTTAAAATCCTCACTTTTGTCCGGTTTCTATTATTATTTGGAGTTGCCAGTCATCGTTAGAACGCGGTAAAGGGTACACGCGCTCGTCGGAACGCGGTAAAAGGTGCACGCGCTCGATCGTTTACCAGTAAATCCGATACCAGTGATAGTCAACTCTGGAGCCGCTTTACTAAGTTTAATAATCTTAAGCGGAAGGAAATGTTCTCTTGTCCACGTTGTAGGAATAAAGTGTCTGACGGACCTTTATGTAATTTATGTAAACGCCAGTTTGATTTCGCCTGTGCTGGTATGACAGAGACCAATTTTCGTAAACTTGGGGAAGGAAGATCCACCTGGCGATGTATTGACTGCAAAAATGCCCAGTCTCCTGCATCAACATCTTATAATAATCCTGGGATAGCAGTGCGTTTGGAAGAAATGCAGGCTACCCTAGCGAATATTACGCAGCAACTTGTACCCTTGGCTTGTACGTCTTTACATCTTCAATAGGTGACTATTGAAGATGTAAACACCATTAAGCTTGAAATATCGAATCTCAAGAGCTCAGTTGAATTTGCTCACCAAACTGTAAGCCAGTTGTCGGTGACAGTGAAGTCCCTGGAATCCAGGATTTCGCAAGTTGACGAACACACCAATTTGATCCACATTTTGGGAGCTGACCTAAATAAGTTCAAAGAAGATCTACAGGATAAGGAACAATGGACGCGGGCTAATAATATGGAAATAAAAGGGACTCTAGTGAAGAAGTCCGAGAACTTATACGATATTGTGGACCATATCAATAAAGTTATCCAGTGCTCTATACGTAAAGACGACATCAATTATATTACCCGAGTCCCCAGCCTCAAAGCAGAGTCTCAAAAGTCCATAATCATGGCGCTCAACAATCGTTACTGCAAGGAAGAGTTTGTAGCAGCTGCGCGTAAACATAGGGAACTCAAAGTTTCTCAACTGGGATACGCCGATGAAGGACATGTTTACGTCAACGACCATCTCACGCTATTTAATAAAGCTCTTCTTAAGAAGGCGAAAGATCTGGCGAAAACAAAAAAACTTCAAATATGTGTGGATAAAACATTGTAAGATTCTGGCCCGAAAATCCGACACATCACCGACGTTCCGCATAAAATCAGAAAAAGATCTTCTAAAATTTTCATAAAATTGATAAAGTGCGTATATTTCGATTTACTAATTGCTTGTACGACATATTGCTCATGATTATATTATTTCAACTCGTGTAAATATTGTGATTGTTGCGATCGCGACGTGGGAAGCCCTGACTCTTTTGTATTGCTTATCACTATTACTCACTACCTGTACGCGGCGGTCATTAGAGAAGGCACTTCTGTTAATAGCTATCGTAACTGCATGTACTTAGAGGTAGAATTTCTCTGCACCCCGCATGTACTGGTGGAACATATTATTATTACCTCATATTTTGCTTTTAAAATGTTACTCAATGTTTGCGTGTTGTCGATATCTACGAGATACTACCGTTCTCGCTTATTTAACTTTGCTTTTGCCGTCGTTTTGTTGATCGCTCTACTTGCAACTCGCTTTCGCAAAACAATGCTGCTTTGCAGTGGTGATTGTTGTGAATTCCGGACCAAAATCCGAACCAATTTTATATCTAATGTAACGATTGTGTACTGTGTACTTTAAAATTCGCTATTAATATTTTTTATCAAAATGCTCGGGGACTGCGCACGAAAACAAGCTTATTTAAGAGAAATGTGGCCTTAAGCATCTTTGATATCATATCAATAACGGAGACTTGGCTAGTGGATGGCATTAGTGATAGTGAACTTTTTGATGAACGGTATATAGTGTGGCGGCGTGACCGCGACTACTGCTCCACCGGGCAGCGGTACGGCGGCGGCGTGCTGATGGCCGTTCGCCGCGAGCTCGCCGCCGCCGGCCGCCCGGCTCGGCACTCCTCCGTCGAAGATATTTGGGTTCTCTGTGACACTCCGCACCAAATCCGGCCTTCTCGCATTACACATTTGCACTATTTATTTACGTAAGGAGGGAGGTGGCTACTCAATTAATACACAACTCGATAACTTCGCGAGTAAGCTTGGGGATAACTTTCACTCTGCACCCAAGGACCGTTTTATCGTCTTGGGAGATTTTAATATGCCAAATATCAGCTGGATTTTAATGGAAAGCGGTCAATTAGGGCCAATAGGTGTTTTAAACGAAAGTCAGGCAAATTTTTGGACATAATTTATGAATGTAATCTCGACCAATACAATAACATACGAAATAGCAACGATAGGCTACTGGATCTTGTCTTTTGCAATAACCATGTAAATGTACTACCCAGTGACCACCCCCTTGTCTCAGAGGATTCACACCATAGATCAATTTGCATCGAATTAAATTTAGACATACCTAGTTTTCTGACTGTCAATAAGAGAACCATTTTCAATTATAAAGAAGGAAATTATGTAGAAATTAATTCAAACTTGTCGAAAAAAGATTGTAATGTCTTGTTATCGAGCGGTTCTAATGACGACAATGTTCATAATTTTTATCGTATTCTGACCGATCTTCGTGATGAATTTAAACCTCACAAAATTATCAGTAGTAGCTCATTTCCTATTTGGTACAACGCCGCCTTAAGAAAGGTTTTAAAAGAAAAATTCAAGTATTTTAAAAAATATAAAAAATATAGTAACCGGTACGATTACGAAACTTATTTCTGAGAGAAAGAGCCGTAAAATTAGAAAGTGAGTGTTATCAGTCATACATAAGTAAAGTAGAAAACTCGGTAATAAATAACCCACGTCTTTTCTGGTCTTACACAAAGTCGCTGAAAGGGCCCTCCCAGGCACTAAATCTGTTATAACATATGAGGATCAGTCTGGTGATACTGGACAATCGGTGTGTAATTTATTTTCAGAATACTTTCAATCAACTTTTCTCGTTCCCGACGCTAATACCCGTACACCTAATCTTGATAATCAGTGCCAAGATAATTTTAGTATTGGTGACATAAATATAAATCCGAAGGAGGTTGAAATATTGCAGAAAACTACTAACATGAACAAAGGCGCTGGGCCTGATAGTATAACACCTTTTTTATAAGGCAGTGCGTCGATAGCTTGGTTACGCATCTACGCATTATTTTCAAGCGTTCTTTAAAAGAAGGTATAGTGCCAATGACCTGGAAATCAGCATTCGTAACGCCCGTACATAAAAGCGGCCAAACCTTTATGGCCACTGACAGCTCTGGTGACTGTGATTGCCTTCAATCCGATCTGAATAATTTTGTGCAATACTGTACTCAAAATAAGCTTGATATGAATGAATGTTTCCAAGTGTTTTACTATGACCTTTTCTCGTAAATCTAACCCTATAAATTATCATTATAGAATCAATAATAAGTCACTTAACAAAGTTACATCTATGAAAGACCTGGGTCTCATTCAAGATTCTAAACTCTTATTTGATAAGCATATTGATTACGTAGTGAAAAAGGCCTCCAAGTCTCTTGGTTTCGTTATAAGGTCTACATATGAATTTAAATCTATTAAACCGATTAAAGTACTTTATTGTGCTTATATGCGCAGTATCCTTGAGTATGCCTCTGTGGTCTGGAATCCACAATATAACATACAAAAAAGGTTCTTGAGACATCTACAATACAAGTGTAAGCAATTGGACAATGGTTATGAAACGAGATGCAATAGATACCACTTCTTACCTTTGGAAAAAAGACGGCAACTCTTCGATATTACGTATCTATTAAAAATTGTCGGAGGCATCATTGATTGCCCTGCTTTGTTGGAAAAAGTAAGCATCTGGGTTCCGCGCAGATTACCAACTAGATGTACTCAGCCACTAGCTATTCCTGGAGTCAATACTAACTACCGCCGCAATTCATTTATTATTCGTGCGAGTAACTTTTTTAACAAACTGTCAATAAATAACGGCGAATTAGAACTATTCCGTACCAAGCCTCATAATGTAAGTAGATTGTTGGCGTTGGAGTTCTTTGGCCCCCGCGCCAAGGGTGCAACAAATTCAATACTCTTAAATTTTGAAAACACTCATCTTCAGGGAATTTACTTGTTTATTGTTATTGTTTACATGGTCTCTTTACATTTAAATAACCATATGCGAATACCTGTAAATGGTTTTCCCGAAATGTCCAATTTGTATTCATGTAATGTTTATATGCTGTTGGTGTTCCAAATAAAAAAAAGAGAATGCTGCCCGTCTCCTGTTTCTGTGTCCCTTTTTACGACATCTGCGGAATGCCATGGGTAGTATAGATTCTGCTACGCCACCAATACACTATCTTTTTTCTCTTATTTAAAAAATAATTTGGTTTCAGTCATTACAAAAGCCGCATGAGGCTAGAGATGAGATTCGATTCACACCAATTTGTCACATAGATATCAGGCCAGTAGAGTGTGATAAGGAAAATGATTGTAAGGACGAAGCTTATAGTCTCGAATCTATTAAAGTTAAGGAAGAGAATGTCGAAACTGAGAATTCTAAATTTGGAGAAAATTGGAACCATGAAACAGGTAAGCTATATACCTTTTGTGATATTATTAAAATAAGATACAAGTTAATGGAAACATGGACACAAGATAAAGGGACATGTGAAATGTACTGATTTACCTTTGCCTAAATTCAAAGTGCATTTTAACCCCTCAATCCCAATAAAAAGCCCATGCAGTCGCATGCGCCCGGCAAATCCCGAGCGGTCACATGGGACTGCACCCACCCGCAGCACTTAAAATCATTAAAACTTATTTTTAAAGACTGCTTTTCTATGAAGACATTTGGCATTATAAAATCTATACAAAATTCTCTATATAAAAGTCAGGTTTTACTTCATTACAAAAAGAATATTGTATTTTGATAACAAAAACAAAACATACCAAGCGAATGTCGGCACCGTGAAAATCACAATTATTTCAATATATATTACTCGAAATTATTTACGTAATAAAATAAATTATATTCACACAAAAACTTTCATTACAATTTTATAATAAAACACTAGAAAAATCCAAAAATGAACAATGAATGTTATTCACGTGAAAATGGCGTACGAAATGAACGTAGATTATAGATAAATATCCATAGGATAACTTGACTTTTTATTGCAGTAGAGGATAGAACATTTTATATTGATTCTATAGTGCCAAACTTCTTCGTAGAAAAGTAGTCTCTAAATAGATGTTTTAATGGTTTAAAGTGCTGTAGATGTGCGTGGTCGAATCCGAACGCTTGGATTTTGACGGAATAGCGCCGCAGTCGGATTCGACCGCTTGGAGACTGAGAGGTAAAAATCACTTTTGCGGAGAAAGAAAATTACAAATTAAATAATTATTTAAAAGATAAGCATATAATGGACATCATAATGAGCTTCTTTAGACATTTATTCACTGAGGTATTCATATATTTTCAAAATATTTTGACTCTGCAAATGCAGTCGGTATGTACCTATGTCACTAAGATGTATTAATTTCATAGGAGTGAATGATATAGTTAGAACTGGTAAGCATCCACCTATTTTTGTCAATTTCTTGGTGCTATTACTAGGTGGGACTTCATTTTTGCTTCTCACCTTTGCTACCTGCGTGATTTGATTACCTACAATCGCGCGGGACCTGAGGTTACATATGCAGTCGGGGCTAGCGCGTTTTAGGCAAGCGATGTACGTCACTAATTAGCTGGCGCTCCTCAAGGTACCGCATGAGCTGGCTGTTAATAATGGACTCCATTAGTTTGAGAGAACAAGGAGGTGATGGCGATAGCGATAGACCTGTAGTTGGACGGATCAGAGCGGTTACCTTTTTTACATTTTATGTGAAATTTATATGTACCTACACATTCAATAATATTAATAAAAAAAACTTTCTATTGTAATAAAAAAATGTCACCGGTTGTTAGGATTGTCCGTTTTTACGATCAAACATTAGTAGTCCCTTCGATGTCCTTATAACAGATTTTTACTGTATACATACAAAATAAACAAGTTTATGGCAGTGGCGAAGCTAGGGCTCCAGACTAGGGTAAGCCCAAGATATGGTTTTGTTGTTTTTAGCAGTTTAATAAAA